TATATGTGTGTATATATATATATGTATATGTGTGTATATTTTCACAAACATGCGGGACCCCGAATTGTTTCCCATTTCAACCCTTTAGTGAAGCTTCTAGTGTGTCGTTTGTCAACGATGATTCTTTTCACTCTGTAACAAGCTCAGTCTTAAACATACAGACAAGTACGGGCTAATTATATTATTATAATTATTATTATAGTTTGTGTTTTTCTTATTTATGCATCATGTTCCAGACGTCAATCCTGTCTGACGATAAACAATAAATCTATATTAATAAATACACCTGTAGGACATAGACCTTAATTACCATATATGTGTTTAAAACTGCGTACTAACATATTGCGTACTACATACTGCGCGCTGACATACTGCGCGCTGACATACTGCGTACAAACACTGCTTACTACATACTGCTCACTGACATACTGCTCACTGACATACTGCGTACTGACATACTGCGCACTACATACTCACTTTTGCGTTACACTGAGTAGGAGCACTGATCTCCCACAATCCCACAAAGTACATGTTCAGAAAAAACATTCAGAAACATGTATGACATAATTTCCTGTTTTGAATAAATAATATTTCTGACCCTCATGAATCTGGTCTAAGTCTCAGACCAGTCCAAGTACTGGAACCAGTAAACCTCACCCAGTCTCTGCTCTTTAGGTGTGCAGAGACTCTGATGAGGAGTGGACTCACCTGAGCCCCAAAGAGGTCGATCCCTCCACCGGAGAGTTGCAATCCCTGCAGCCCAGGGACCAGGACCAGGGTCCCCTGTCGGGACAACAGGGTCCAACAGGTCTAAGGGAGGCGGCTCTGTACCCTCACCTGCCTCAACGTAAGACCACATCTTCTCTGCTAATCCGTCTGATTCTTGTGAGACGTCCCTTCTGACCTTCACTGACGTATCCTTCCTGCCCCCCTCCCCCACACAGAGGCGGACCCCCATCTGGTGGAGTCTCTGTCTCTCATGCTGTCGATGGGTTTCACTGATGAAGGCGGTTGGTTGACTCGTCTCCTTCAGGCCAAAAACTTCGATATCGGTGCAGCGCTCGACGCCATCCAGTACGCCAAACAGCCCCGCCCACACCAGCCCTGATGATGTCATCATGATGTCACTGCTGATATCACCTATACTAAACATCTAACCAGGAGATGATTTATACTACAGTCAGATGTTCTTGTTGTTTCCTGTAATCTGAGTTTCAGTCAGTCCTCTAAATTCTATTATTATCATTTATCAATCTTTTGCCTCATTAATCAGTTTTTTCATGATCAATACTTTGTCTCATTGATTACTGTACTGTGGTTTTATGTTAATCTTAACAATAAAAACATGAACTGGATTTGTGGTCTTGACTCAAAATATACATTTATAGTACAAATATACGTCCTCACTAAACAGTGATGAACCCCGATGAGTTCCCAAGGTAGCGTGTTCTGGTCTACCGGGGTCTCTCGCCAGTTGGACGACCGGAAAACACCCAAAGCTCGTGTACACAGCTGAGGGTCTGAAAGTAGACGGCCTGGTAGATCTGGAGCTTTTTCTTCCTGCTCAGCTCCCTCTTCACCACAACGGTCCGGTACAACGAGAATCCTCCCATCCCCTTTACGCTACATTAGACCTTCATGGTGAAACACACCCAGAGATACTTGAACTCTTGGAGCAGTGACTCACTCCAAACCCGAAGGGTGCATCCACCGTTCTCCAGCAGAGAACCATGAACTCAGAATTGGAGGTTGCCGAAACGTGCCGAGTATCCGGACACAGCTTTCACTTTGGTCGTACACGGACCGGATGGCTCGTAGTAGTAACGACCCCGGTACCCCATACTCCTGCACCCCCCCCCCCCCCCCCCCACAGGACTCCCTGAGGGACACGGTTGTTAACCTCCAAATAATAAATAAATTAGACTGGAAGGGAAAATCTCATGACTTCTCCAACAAACCTGCAAGAGTACAGAACTGGTCCACTAGTCCAATGATCCACTAGTCCACGGCCAGGATAAAATCCTCATTGCTCCTCCTGGATCTGAGGTTCAACAATCGATTGGAGCCTCGTTTTCACACCCTGAAATAAACTTTCCTGGGGAGGCTGAGCAGTGTGATTTCCCGATAATTGGAGAACACTCTCTGGTCCCTCATTTTGAAAATAAGAACCATCACCCCGGTCCACCACTCCACAGGAACTGTACCCGACCTCCATGAGACACTGAGGAAACGTGTCAGCCTTGACATCCCAACAATGTCCAGAGTCTTCAGCGTCTCTGGGTGAACCTCATCCAGCCCTGTCGCCTTTCTAAGGAGCTTTTTTTACTACCCTTAAACCGTTGTCCGAAATATGGATAAGTCTTCCCCCGAGTTTTCAAACTCTGCCTCCTCCACGGAGGATGTGTTGGTCGGGTTCAGGAGTTCCTCAAAGTTTTCTTTCCACCTCTCGACAGTATCCCCAGTCCTGGTCCACAGTTCTCCCCCTCTGATGAACTCAGCCTAAGACAAGTCCTGTTTTCCCTTTCCGAGTCTTCAAACAGTTTACCAGAACTTCCGTGAGACAAACCCAACGTCCTTCTCCTTGGTCTCCCCGAACGCCTGGGTTTTTGCTTCGGCAACCACCGCAGCAGCCCTTCTAGGCAACCGGTACCAGTCTGTCGATTCTGGAAAATTCTGGGCCAGCCAAGCCCAAAAGGCCTCCTTCTTAAGCTCAACGACCTCCTTCACCGCATGGGTCCACCAGCGAGTTCCCAGGTTCTGACCACGACCAGCACCGATGACCATCTGACCACAGCTCCTAGCAGCCACTTCCACAATAGAGGCTCAGTCTGATTCCGTGTCCCTGAAATGCACAAAATATTCTTCTGGAGGTGGAAGTTGAAGGACTTGCGTACAACGGCCTCAGCCAGATGTTCCCAGTTGACCCTTAAAACAGGCTTTGGGTTTACCAGGTCTGTCCGGCAGCCTCCCCACCAGCTGATGTTCCTCCTCACCAGAATGTCAAAGACATACGGTCTTGTGATAATCCAACCAAAAAGTTGATCTTTGTTCTGGTCCAAGTAAAATTCTGAAGCGCCCTAAGCTTTGAACAAGGTGCTTGTTAGAACCGATCCATAAACAGCACTGAAGTCAAACAACAAAGCACCTGCACTCATGGTATGAGCATGTTTAAACGCCTATAATGCACAAATGTTTGTGCATGGACTTTATCTGTGGTTATTAACACTTGTTTAGTTCTATTCTCTCTGTTTACATCATTGTTGGACAGTGAATTAATGTGTTAGGATTCTGATCATTTTGGGCTCTTAGGTTTATTTTCTGTGTCTTCATTTAGATGTGAGTGGGTACGTTTGCTCAAAAGAGTTGTACTTTGTCTTGTAATGGAGCTTTATTTACTGCTTTTAATATTCGGCACGGTCTCTGAACATATGAGACATACTGGTGTTAAACTGTTCGTGTGAAGAATTAACATATAAGAGTCTGTTCATTCTTGGTTAAAGACTCTGGTCTCTCTGAACACTTTTCTCTCTTCAGCCCTCATACAAATCACATGAAATATTATAAATCTGACTTATCATTATTTTAATCTTTAGAGGCAGCATCAGAGCTGTTTTAACCTTTTAATCCGTTTGTGTATGATTTTCAATATCTTTATAAAGTATGAAGGTTTTTGTGTTTTATACATTAATTTGTGTTAATTTGTTGCTCTGCAGACTCGTGACAGAGACACTCTTGTTTTTCTGCTCTTGTGTTTGTGTCATTCTTCCTAATAGTTTTCGCTCTGTCAGCGGTATTTCAGAGCAGACAGAATGTTGATCCGCAGATTAAATTCTGAACAAAAGACATCAGCAGCCGTCACAACAACAGAAGTTCAGCCCGTCCTCTATATGACAACAACGCACCAACGGCAGACTTCACAACCTCAGAGGAGCTGCACAGAGAAACATCAGCAGCCAATCAGACGGCAGGAAAACACTCAGAGATTCAACCTCGTCTTCATCATGATGTTTGTCAGGACTCTTCTGCTCCTCTGTGCTTTCTTCAGTGCAGGTAAGATTAGACCTTATCAGCCGTTAAATAACATGAGAGCAATAAGGGGGAGAACAGAGAGAAGAGGGGAAGAACAGAGAAAATGGAGCAATAAGGGGGAGAACAGAGAGAAGAGGGGAAGAACAGAGAAAATGGAGCAATAAGGGGGAGAACAGAGAGAAGAGAGCAATAAGGGGGAGAACAGAGAAAACGGAGCAATAAGGGGGAGGACAGAGAGAAGAGGGGAAGAACAGAGAAGAGAGCAATAAGGGGGAGAACAGAGAGAAGAGAGCAATAAGGGGGAGTGCAAAACAGTAATATATGAAAACAGGATCTGTTGTCCCTCCATCTCGTCACACAGTGATAAGTTGTTATTGTCGCAAAATGCTTTTTAATGATCTAAACTGATATTTAACAGTACACCTCAAAGTATAGAACATAATGTTTATAACATCACACTAAATTACCAGATTACACATTACATTACATTATTATTGATGCTAGAGTCACTTCCGGTTTACTTCAGTCGCTGGTCACAGTGGACAGAGCTACATACAGTATGTAATCCTGGAAACACATTTACTCATCGCTAAAGTACTGCAAAGACATTTCTTCAGTTAGTAACGGTGCAACTTGGTCTAGTAAATAGCTAGTTTTAATGGTAGTTACTGAAGACTGAGTTTATAGTTTCAGAGTCAGGTGTATGGTCCAGGTAAAACAGTACAGAGTCAGAGTCAGGTGTATGGTCCAGGTAAGACAGTTCAGAGTCAGGATCACGGTCTAGGTAAGACAGGACAGAGTCAGTTGTACGGTCCAGGTAAAACTCTACAGAATCAGAGTCAGGAGTACAGTCCAGGTAAGACAGTACAGAGTCAGAGTCAGGTGTACAGTGCAGGTAAGACAGTACAGAGTCAGAGTCAGGTGTACGGTCCAGGTAAAATAGTACATAGTCAGAGTCAGGAGTACTGTCCAGGTAAGACAGAACAGAGTCAGAGTAAGGAGTACGGTCCAGGTAAGACAGTACAGAGTCAGGTATTAAAACTGTGAATATGAGAAAATATACCTGAAATACGTTCTCCTTTTCAGACGCTGAAGATAAATCCCGGCTCTACAGGAGGGTAAGAAACAAAGAAAAACGACCAACAAACTATTACCAACCTGAACATGTTTAGCAACTGAAATGAATTACAGTAACTTAAAGAATCCCTTGTGCATTTCTCGTGAAGTTACTTTGTTACTAAGTGTCTGACAGTATCATGAAGTGACACAATGTGTCCCAACATCAATCATTTTTATTATTTCTTCAGTCTGTAGTTCATAAAGTTTTCATGAAGATGTTGATTCAAAATCAATATGATTATTTCATGGTTAAACGAGCTGAAGGGTTTGATGATAAAACTAAGATGAGTTGCTGCTTCTTTAGGCGTTAAACAGACAACAGACTGAAATACATATTCATCTGTTCTTTAATGATACCTGCATGAAACAAAGTTGTCCGTTTGTAAATAGAATAGAATTTAAATATTGAATTTGATGTACATAAGAGTTGCTGCAGCTGATTTCACACTAACCCATGATGACATGTATGTTGTGTTTGGTATTATTTCTGCAGCCTTCCTGTGAGTGGATGAGCGTGACTCAGGCGTGTCCTCTGAACTACTCTCCGGTGTGCGGTAGTGATGGCTTCACCTACCCAAATGAATGTTCTCTGTGTGTCCACAGACTGTGAGTCTTTCATTCATTCTTTATTTTCCAATCTTCTGACACCTTTTGATTTGTTTGACTGATTAGTTTCTGTATATTTAAATATCAATCAAACTGGGAGAGACAGCTCAACATGTTGCTGCTCAGGTCACACCTGTCAGATGACTTCACTGACCAATCGGAGGTGAACAACAAGATCAGAACTAATAAACAGCTATCGCTCAGGAGGTAGAGCGGGTTGTCCACTAATTATAAGCTCCACACTTCGATCTTCTTCTCAAAGGGTGGATTGTTGTGTGAGAGTTTATGAATGAATGTGGACACGTAGTGTGAAGGGAAGTGAAGTGTAGTCTAGTGTAAAGTGTAGTCTAGTGTAGTCTAGTGTAAAGTGTAGTCTAGTGTAAAGTCTAGTGTAAAGTGTAGTCTAGCATAGTCTAGCGTAAGTGTAGTCTAGTGTAAAGTGTAGTCTAGCGTAGACTAGTGTAAAGTGTAGTCTAGTGTAAAGTGTAGTCTAGTGTAGTCTAGTGTAAAGTGTAGTCTAGTGTAGTCTAGTGTACAGTGTAGTCTAGCGTAGTGTAGTCTAGTGTAAAGTGTAGTCTAGTGTAGTCTAGTGTACAGTGTAGTCTAGTATAAAGTGTAGTCTAGCGTAAAGTGTAGTCTAGCGTAGTCTAGCGTAAAGTGTAGTCTAGCATAAAGTGTAGTCTAGCATAGTCTAGTGTAAAGTGTAGTCTAGTGTAAAGTGTAGTCTTGTATAAAGTGTAAAGTGAACTGTGAAGGGTTTGTTGTGTTTGTTAATTATAATAGAGTTTACTATTATCACAGCAGTAAGCAGTATGTTGTTGTAGTTGGAGGAATATATCAACATGTTTACAGCAGCTCGGTCAGTGGTCCATGGTCTTCATACCACGACGCTCTTCGTTGCCCTTAGTTACATGCAGACACTGTCTTTTCAAAATAAAAGGTCTGCAATCGTTAAGTTAACAAAACATTTGTGGTTTTGGGTAAAATAAGTCTGTTAGTTAGGTTATTAACTACATTACCTTGAGTATGTTATGTAACACGTTAAAGCTGCAACCAAAGTTAAAGTAAGTCAATGTTGACTCTTTGTTAACATGGGACATGAACACTGGTCTCCTTGGTTCACATCATTTACCTTCTACTGAGGTGCACTTCTTGCTCTTCATACAACGTCACATGACTTCCTACTTTACTTCCTCCTTAACTACGACCTTGTAGATCCTCTTAGTTTAAAGCGTAGGGCCTCTGAACAATCTGCTGTATTTTACCTCTTGGGAGTGAGAACAGGTTGAACTTATATAATGTGGGGTTGTTCATTCAATAAATCAAAGTTACACTCATTTTGCAGGTTTTTATTTCCCAATTGTAAAGTTTTGTTTCCTGTTTATTTTCACAGAATGGAAGAAATGTAAATTACTTTCAGCTCTACTGTCACTATATGAGTGTGTTTTATGACCCTGATGAGTTTTACCTGTTGAGACCAGAAGTAGGGGACAGTAGTTTGTGAGTAACATCAGGTTTTTCTTCATTTTAAGAGGGTGAGAGACTTTAGTTTGTAAAAACTGAAGCTGACAGTGTTTGATGCTTTAACATCTGTATGGAAGTAGAAACACAGTTTAGTTCTGGGCTTTAGAGACACCGTGTACTTCACTGTTGATTGTTATTGTTGATGATTGGATTTTTCTGTACAGGGAGAAAAATGCTGATATTTTGATTGTCATGGAGGGGCCCTGTTGAGGATGACCTCATCCAACTCTTCAATGATGTCATCCCATTTCTGGCAAACTAACAATGTCATCGCGTGTATATTTGACTTGTGTTTGAATGTAGCTGTTTGAGTGTAAAATAGACACAAACACACACACACACACACACACACACACACACACACACACACACACACACACACTCTCATGACTGCAGCCATAATAATACAAATTAAAACATATTTGTTCTGTAATGCTGTGTTTTATATTTTCATTTCTGTGTAAAAACCTTTTTCATTGAAGTCTTCCACTAATAAAAATTTGAGTTTTTCTCTGAGTTCAACTTTGTCCCCTTTTAACACAAATCTTTGGTCGTGGGTAAGAATGTATGTACAGGTATTTTAAATGTCATTCCTATTATTCAAGTAGGAGAAGCAGACTTTTTGTGATTTAACTGCCTCTAATCAGACCACATCTCACTGGAAATGACCCCATCCTATAGACCTCTAGTCTGCAGAACAAGACCAACTGTTAAAACTGTCCAAGTCTGGAGAGAAGAGTCCACCTCTCTGCTGCAGGACTGTTTTGAAAACACCGACTGGGAGTTGTTTACACAGAGCACAGACCTGGAGGAATATAGCTCATCTGTCTCGGCTTAGGACAGAAGACGATTGAGGATAATCACTTGTTCAGACTCAAGTTCATCATTAGCAGCTTACAGAACAGCCATTCAGACAGTAGACCAGACATCCTTATAGAAATACAACAAACATTATACAGAATTCAAATGATGGGTCTGACGGTCATATTCCTGTGGGTACCAGCACATATTGGGGTCAAAGGAAATTAAATGGCAGATAAAGCTGCAAAAGAGGCCACAAAAAAATAGCTGCACTAATGTTAGTCAGCTTCAGTAAATCAGAAACTAAAAGTATCATTAAACAGAGGTTGAAGGAAAGGTGGCAGAAGCAATGGGAAGAAGACAGGAAAGGACGATGGTTTTACTGGGTTCAGAGGAAAGTGGGAGAAATGAGATGTGCAGGAAGGAACAGGAGAGATGAAACGGTGATATCAAGGCTTAGATTTGGACACACTGGCCTAAACGGTATGCTTCAAAATATAGGTCAACACGAAACAGGGAAATGCAACTATTGTGGGCAAGAGGAAACAATAGATCGTGTAATTGTAATTGTACAGTCAGAAATATGAGCAGGAAAGAGGGCAGCTGATTGGAGACCTCGGCAAGATGAAGGTACGGTTGGATATAGTGGATATATTCTGCAAAATAACTCAAAAAGTGTTATCAAGTATTATTTCAATATCTTAGATTCATTAATATTAATAAGAAAATATGAGCCCGTTGTTTTGTTTTGTTTCTTTTTTCTTTTCGAATTTTAATTTGTATATAAGTAGCCTATTAGACATCGTGATCCACACTCAAGACCAGTTGATGGCGGTAATGCACCAATTAATTGTTTGCCAACTGCCAATAAATCTCAAACAAGAAGAAGAAGAACCTGCCTGCAGTATTTGAACTGAGGAAAAAGGCGCGTTCAATGTGCGTATCCGGTGCGCATGGCCGATGCCATGCGGATCTGCCGACCTGAGGGCAGATTTGTTTGGTAAGTTGTCTTTCTTTCCTTGTTTAAAAGCGTGATTTTAAGAGTGAAATTGTAGAAACACAATGTATTCTTTTTAGGTCATAGCATTAAATCAAAGGTGTGAGATAATGGTTAAATGTGTGTTCTCTGCTAGAGGGTACGGTGGTCTAGAAAGGTAGATGTATACTTTTACATTGCATGTTCTATCAAATGTTTGTGTAAAGGTTCCTTTTTGTATAATAATGTATTGTTTCTTTTTGGTTTTAAACAAAGACACTAGAGGAGACAACCACTGTTGTTCCCATGCTTATTAGATTTAGTGTTTTTTAAAAAAAATCTTCTGTTTCTTGTGGGGCTTTGTGCTGTACCGAAGGGGGATAGTAGAGTTGAATGCCTGCATATCTCATTCTGTTGTTTGAGTCCATAGGTTTAGTGAAATGTGTCTAAATCAGTTGTCCAAAGAATGTTTTAACCTAATTCTAATGTTCTTGTTTTAACAGCTGCTGAAGTTCATATCAGATGACCCTCTCTGCCTGTTCGTTTGGCTGCCTTCCTTGCAGGTGTGGAGGTGGGTGTGGCAGAGGGTCGTCAGGCAGAGTGGAAGCACCTGAGCACCCAGTATAAAAACCCAGTATGGATTCTCAGTTGGTCTCTTGCTCCTTCCTGAGACACCCACTTTGGTTGCGGTTTGTTTTTACGCTATACAACACTGCATATACACTTTACACGCACGCACTCACTCACACTGCTGAAATGACTGACTTCACATGTCACTGTTAGTTTATGTTTGTCTTTTATATTACTTTAAACTTAATAAATAATTAATCAACTGCTTCATTGAATGCATCTCCCTTTTTTGTCATGGCCGTTTGGCCCGGTTTGTGACAATATCATGAGCTTACTGGAGAACATTAAACACCAGCAAGATCAATTAATCACTAGAGTAAACTATCTCACCAACAAGCTACACACAACTAAGAAGTGGAAGTGACTGAGCCAGTAAAGTTTCCATTTAACTCAATGGAGGAAGTGGAACATGTTGAGGACTGCTGAAGAAGAGTGGCGAGTATTTTTGTTTTATTAAGCATCTCAATCAAATCTGATTAAAATCAATCTTGATTTGAACTATTCTATATTGTATGTATTAACACTGGATAATACCCCGTTTGACGAATGTATTTTAAAAAACATTCTGTAAAGTATCGGATGTTAACAATACTTTTTTTGATCCATTTTAGAGTTCCTCCCTCTGTCAGAGGACATGACGCACACCGGGTTATGGAACAGCCTTGCCGCATGTTCAGTGATGATGTTGGGAAGAGAATTAACTGGAAAGGGATGAATGGGGAAAAAGTCCATCAGCCAGATGGAGTCGAAGACTTTGCTCCTGCGTAAGTAACTGTAATATTTAATGAAAACAATTTGAAGTCACCCAGAGGTCTTACAAATTAACATGTTTCCCAGATCTTCTCCTTTAACGGTGCTAAATTCAATATTTGAACAGCAACTTCATTCTCTGCTCAGGTAGATATTACTCAACTGTATCTTGGCATATATTGGCTTTGAATATAGCATAGCAAACCTTTCAATGTCAAACTGCCACTAGCTTTTAGACTGCATGTCTGCTATATGTTGCACTGAGGGTTCATGAGATTATGATCTGCTTGTGATTACAGATGCCGTCAAAGAATCATGTCTCGCGTGCCGCCACAGATGATGAGATTCTGAAACACGCAATGAAGTGTTTCAACCTGGCAGCAGACAGGGGAAGTTCTAGGAGGCGTGCCACAGTCAGCATTACTATTGATCAAGCCTAAATATGTATGTGTGATACATTCTAAAATCCTTGTAAATTGATTTAATTTAATAAAAAAACTGTTTTTGATACCATTCACGGTTGCATTTATTTTTTCCATTAATACCTATTCAATATATAGGCTGTAATGACTTATATTTTTTTAAGATTATTTGCCTTTTATTAGATAGTCATGATGGAGAGTTGGGATTTTACACAAATTATGCATTGATGTTCTCCAGCGTTACTGTAGATTATATGTCTTGAATAAATTCAACATTTTATTATTGGAGTAGTCACACTTTTATAGAGCAATCTAGATGTTGGTCAGCTTGATTTTAGATATTTATGTAGTTTGAGTAAGGGGATCTGTCTGCCTGTGGGGAGAGGGGAGGACATAGGGTGTGTCTCCACCAGGGGAAAGTTAAAAAAGATGACATAAATTAAAAGATAATATAAATAAATATACAATAAAAAGGTGAATAAAACCATACATAATATATTAAGAGCACACGTGAAAGACAAGTATAAATATGTATATGAAAGTACCCTGGTGGAAAGGACAAAGGGATGGCAGGCGAGGCTCTAATAAAAAAAAAAAAGACTGGGAGTTAGTATTTTTCATTAAGCCCGTGCGGGTCTATAGTTCCCAGTCTGTGGATCCATTTCCTCTCCGCTGCTTGCCGCTGCGCCCTGCTCAACCCTAACCCTAACCCTAGGGTTAGGGTTAGGGTTAGGTTTAGTAAGATGCGTGGCCCTCCTAAGAGGGCCACGAGGGGCACTGGCACAAGGGGGCTGTCCTTTAAAAAGGCTTTCATCAAAACCCTGAAATAAGACAGTTAAGACGATTTTATTAAAAACAGTCTAGGCAGCAGAGCGACTGCCAGCGGGAAAGGCAGAGAGGAAATGTTAAAGGGGGAAGGGAGGTTAAAAAGCGCGAACATGGGGACAAAGGAAATAAAAAACACAATCACACACAGCACCTCCCCAATGAATATATAGATATATATATATAAAATGTATAAATAAATTTATATAAAAGAATAAATTAACATATAATAAATGTATATACACAAACACCACCTCTAAAACTTTAAAAAGATAAATAAGTAAGTGCTTAAAAGAAAGATAAGTTAACATATAATAAATGTATATACACCACACACACACCTCTAAAACTTTAAAAAGATAAATAAATAAATAACATTAATAAAAACATGAGTGAGATATTGTGTAAAATTATGCCCAATAACCCTATCCCACGTCCGCCGCTTAATTGGGAGTA